TGTTCTTATTAAAGAGAGAAGAGAAAGCAAAAGATGTACAGGCTCTACTTTCCTTCCAGGGCTATCTTTGTTACTTTCCAGAACTCTCTCCCTTGGCACATTTCTTTGGGTAAAGCAAAAATGCTCAGTGTGTGGGGCATGACAGAAGCTACTGGATTCCACCAGTGCGGTCACCAGAGCTGTTATCCAGCGGGCCAAAATAGTGTGGCTGGCCCAGGCTGCCTCCCAGACATTGCAATCCCCACCCCATGTAATTTCTTGCAGCAAACATAGACCTTCCAACTATCAAGAGAAGAATCTGAAGAGTCCAAACATCCAGCCCTGGCTGATTCTTTCATGTTACTGTAGAAACCAAGGAGGTAGATGACAAGGACGATGTAGTCCCATCCTCAGTAATAACACTTGAGAGAGGAACTATTACCAAGGGATTCGGGAACTGTCCTTCCCTGCACAGGCTGCTTTGAATGCAAAGACAAGAAGACAGGGAAGTGGTGCTGTGGCTCAAGTGGTAGAGCACTAGCCTTGAGCTTAAGAGCTCAAGGACAGTGCCCAGGCCCAGAGTTCAAGCCCCATGACCAAAAAAACAAAACAAAACAACAACAACAACAAAAAAGACAGGAAGATGGGTGGGCAGAACACATGAGCATAAGCAAGGAGGCAGTGGGAAAGGGACTGGGTCAGATGGTAAGGGTCATTCAAGTGCCATGATACATTGCCTTTACTTCGAAGAAGAAATGTGACAACTGTGTTGGTCACGTGCTATTAACGGTGAAGTTATTCCCTGCTAGTTTGAATAATGAGATTCAAGCGTTCTAAATCCTGTCTATTTGAAATGAAGGGCCTGAAGAAGTGAGCACTGCAGACCATGCCAAGGGTAAAATGGAGAAAGGTGCCAATGCTCCTCCAGCTCCAGCAACACAGAGCAGAGATCTTAAGAGGCACAGGGCTTCCCTGAAGGCTGATTGCAGCAACCACAGGTCCCAAACCCAGTCAGCTCAACCAGGGAAGAGCACCCACGAGGCCATCATGTCCTTCATACCTTTGCTAGATCTTTTTGATGCTTTCTTGTTCCCTTCAGAGATAATTTCAATTTCATCAGGATTACCACCTTCATCTTCAATTGCCTAAAAAGAAGTTGAAAGAAAAGATGAGTAAACAAAGTCAACAAACAGCTGGGCACAGGGGTGAAAATCATGTCATCCCAGTTGTTTGAGAGATGAAGGCATGAGAGCTAATTCAGGCTCACAAGTTCTAAACCAGCCTGACTCACAGAACCTGCAGGTAAGTTATGAAATCCCTATCTAGGAAATACAGGGGCTATTGAGCTAGACACTCTCTCAGCCACCAGATAACTGTCCTGTCCTCTCTTGCTGTCCACAGAACCAGGGCTCTGAGGTTTTCTTTTGGACTACAGGGCAAATACCATCATTCTTATTCATTAAGGCTAATACACAGACTCTATATCTGTTTAAAGCAACAATCTGCAAACAGAGTCACCCGGCTCACCCTGCTGCTGGGCTCCAAAGAATTCAAGTGTCAGCTGATTTCCTCAGGCTTTATTGGCCATTTACTATGATATTCAAGATGATGGCAGCAGTCCTCTCCAGGACAGGTGGGCCTGTTTAAAGGACAATGCTACTTCTGGGGGAGCTGCTATTGAATGAACCAGGTATGGGACAGGTGATGTCACCCAGTCCCAATCCCACCCACCCACAGCTGCTTCCAAAGACCTTGGCCTCAGCCGTTTCGTGGCCCTTCCTCACTGTGTACTGAGCCGAAAGGATTTCTTGGCACGCCTAACCACTAAGGATTTGCTACTAACGGGAATAGTACCTCCAAATTTGGTACACGGTGCCTAGAACCAAGCAGACATTTCGCAAATGAGTACTGATCATGCCACTGACTACATTCACCTTCAAATTTAGCTTCAGTAATGATGACTTTCCCCTGATTTCTTGCCTTGTGCTAATGGGTGAGCTCCTATTTCTGTCAGCTTTTGAGGTGCTAGCAAGCAACCTCAGTCAGGGCTTTGAGTAGAAAAGAAAAGGGTTGTGCCACTGACGTACGTCCCAATCCTCTTTAAATACTGGACTGTATCTTCATACAGTGTGCATATCATCTGGAAGGATGGGGAGCTGGCCAGCTTGAGGTGTGTGACAAGGCCTGCCATCCATCTGTTCCAGGATAAAGCAAAGCTCTCCTCCTCTACAAGCCAGCAGGAGAAGTGTAGCACTGTCCTGACATCCGCCAGTTGTGAAACATCACCAGAACAGAAATATTGCAGGATGATGTTACATTCCAGCCCTGAAGGAATCTGTATCCCAGTTATGGGTTTCCTAAGGGAGTAGCACCTGGAGCTTACAGCCTCAACAGATCCCTCCACCACTGACCCCGGGCTCTATCTGGAAATTACACCAAGACCAGGCCACCATCTGTGCAAGATGAGAGAGAGACTTGTGATGTTTGTGTCTGTAATTGGACAGCAGCTCTAAGAATCCGGAGGAGAGAGGAAATGCTCTCTGAGACATTCATACTCCAGAGCCACACAGCTCTGGACCCACAGCCTGACAGGAAAGTGCAGTGAAATAGAAACAGCTGTGTAGGTTGGCTGACTGGGGAGAGGAGGTGGCAGAATACAATCTACAGTCAGTTGGGTGGATGGTAGGCCGAGGGGGCTCAAAACAGGGATATCTGCCAGCAGCTACCTTCTACTTTGCTTCTGATGAATATCCTGTCCCACCTAAGAGAAACCTTTTTTGGGGAAGAAACAGAAGCCTATCATTTCTGGGCTTGTCACGCATATAATCCTAGCTACTCATGAGGCTGAAATCTGAGTATGGTAGTTCAAAGCCAGCTTGGGTAGGAAAGTCCAAGAAGCTCCCATCCCCAATTAAACACCCAAAAGCCAGAAGTGGAGCTGTGGCTGAAGAGGTAGAGCACTGGTCTTCAGCAAAAAGCTCAGGAACAGAGGCCTAGGCCCTAAGCTCCAGGACCAGCACACACACAGACACAGAAGCAACTGTACTTAAATGCCCATCTTTAATCCAGGGACCCAGCGGTTCATGCCAGCAATCTTACGTTCCTTAGGAGGCTGTGATCTAAAGACTGTGGTTCAAGCCAGCCTGTACTGATGGTGTGCCCACACCTGAATGTGAACATGAACGAACGAACACACACACACACACACCCATCTTCAGGCAGTGGGAAGCAGAAGCACCTAGTGGATCACCAATCCAGAGTCTGTGAGAGGACTTGGGGGTGGGGAAAGTAACAGAATTCAGTCAGGCTTGTGGGACAAAGTGGGAATGCTGACCACAGGAAAGAGGGGTGCAATGGATGTATCTGCACAGCTAGTTCCATGCTGTGAAGGAACTCTTCACAACTTCTTTCCCCTAAGAAAGTGGTGAGCACCAAATGACAACTGACGTAAGGTGGCCTCCCCAGGAAAATCCGATTTATATGCCAGGAAACAGTGCCAAACTGGCCCATATGACCTCACCTAATCCTAGAACCCCTGCACTACTACCATCTTGCTCTTTTTCAAGAGCAGGCTCTGAAGGAGTTAAAGGTCTTCCACACCCTTGTGGAAAACATGCCAGCTCACTAGTCGGGGTCCCCATGATAGACAGATACCTAGGGGTTGGGAGAAGGGTGTGATGTCCACCCTGCCAGTCTCTGGGGATGGTCTGAGGTCTGTGCCTGAGCTCACCCGGTCTGACACTTCTGAAGGCTCATGCGCGTCCCTTCCACGGGCTACTCCTGACAAATGGTTGGAAACCATCCGTTTTTATAGGTCTCTCCCCTCTGGTGTTTTCTTTGAGTCTACAGGAACCCTCTTCCTGGGGTGCGACCACCTCCCGATGGAGGCGGTCAGCGATCTTCCCAGAGGAGCGGGCCTGGGTTCCAATCCCGCGTGTGACCTTGGCAGCCTCGCCTCCACCTCCCAACCATCAAGTGGGGTATTTTTTTTTCGGGGCGCCTCGTCTAGTTGACTGGAGGAGGGGCAGGGCTGGGGGAAGGCTCTGGGCGCAGTGGCGGAAGTGTCAGCGGTCACCAGGAGCCTCGGACAGCGACCGCCTCTCCCGTCCGCGTCCCGTTTGTTATTGGCTTATTTCTCTCCCCCCCGTCACCTCATCACCCCCCCCACCTCTCCTCGCCTGCACGCGGCGCTGGGATTTGAACCCGGGCCCCGCCGGCCTCGCGTCTGTCCCCGAGGCCGGGGACTGTCCGGGAGCAGCCGGCGCCGGGCCGCGCGGGCCCCGGGCCGGCCCGACCCGACCCAGGCCGCAGGGACGCGCGGCCGAGCGGCGGCCCCCCCTCCGCGGCCCCCGCCGCACCTTCCTCAGCCGCTCCATCAAAAAGCTCTTGTTGCCGCTCGAGTCCAGGTTCCGCTTCCTCAGCTCCGCCCGCAGGTCAATCACCCGGAGGTCGCTGAGCCGCCGCGTCCCGGCCTCCGACGAAGCGGAGCTCAGAGACGCTGCTCCCGCCGCACCCGAGTCTCCCAAACCCGACAGAGTCTCCGCCATTCCAGGGACTCTGACGCCACCGCCCACTTTACAAACAACCGGGCCGGTGGCTTTCTTTTCTTTCTTTTTTTTCCCCCCCTCCCTCTTCTTCTATTTTTTTTTCTTTTTTAAATCTCGGCTCCTAGTACAAAATGGCGCCGCCTGAGAGGGAGCCGCTGCCAGCCTCTCCGGCGCGCCACGCTTTTGCGCAGGCGCAACTGGCGCAAGGACGACGCTCCCGGTCGCTTCTACACATGCGCGGTAAGGAAACGTCCCAGAGCCTTGCGCATGCGTGCTACGCCTTGCCGGCTTTCCGCCCAACCCGGGTGCGACGCATGCGTGCTGCAGTCGGGCGCCTGCGCGTCGTGTGGGGTGGGAGGGGGTGAGCGTGGGGGAGCACGTACGTAGCGGAGGCCCACGAGCGAGCGCGTCTGAGGCGTGGGGACCGTGCGCATGCGTGGCCGCAAAGCGGGACGGGAGGAAGCAAGTGCGTTTTCCTCTTAGGCGGCGCCATTTTGTGCTCAGAAGAGCTCCAGCCGCAGGCGGTGTGGGGCCGAGTGGGTGAGCGGAGACGGAAAAGCCAGGATGGCGGAGACGCTGGCGGGGTCGGGCGACTCGAGTTCGGGTCCGGCCCTTCTGGGGTCGGGCGGCCTGGAGGCCGGGACGCGGCGGCTCAGCGACCTGCGGGTGATTGACCTGCGGGCGGAGCTAAAGAAGCGGAACCTGGACACGGGCGGCAACAAGAGCGTCCTGATGGAGCGGCTCAAGAGGGTGAGGCGTCGGCGCGCGGGGGGCGCGCCCGTCGCCGGGACCCCTCCCCGCACCCGGGGACCCGCTGTGTGACCTTGGCCCGCCAGCCCCCTTCTCGGTGCCTTCCTCCTCTTCCCGGCCTCGGCGTCCGACCCCGTTAGGTATCAGGGGTGGCCTCGAACCTGATCCCGACCTCAGGACCGATGGAGACTCAACACTGTGACCTTGAGCCGTGTGCCTCAGTTTCCTCCGCTGGGGAGACCCGGGGGTGGGGGGGAGGGGGGTGTGTCAAGTCATTTTCGGGGAAAGTGCGCCAGAGGCTGCCCCCCCCTCCCCTTCTTGTGGTCCCGCCTCCCGGCTGGAGGTGAGCCTCCCCCCCACCAGTCTTATGTCTGAGTTGTCACCTTCCATTTGGGTACGTAGGGCTTGTCTCTGTCCAGTGACCAGGACAGGCTGGGCGGAAGGTAGGGACTGCCACCGTTTCTCAGGCAGATCGATAGATCCATACCTGTTGAGTGATCGATCGATAGATAGATCCATACCTGTTGAGTGATCGATCGCTAGATAGATCCATACCTGTTGAGTGAGCGACCAGTTGGCGCCCTTTCTCAAGCTGGTGATCCCCCCCCTGTCAAACTGCTCTGCTGAATCCACCCCAGCCCTTTTTCCCTGGCTACGTCCCCCACCAAATAAAACATTATGAGGCAGAAAAAAACGGGAGTAGAAACGAAGTTTGTCTGAAAGTTAGACAGCCAGGGGGAGCTGAGAAAAAGGCTCTTAGCTATTGACTCAGATACTGGTAGCTGCATATTCTCCCCCCCCCCTTCCTTTTGGATGCTAGAGCTTGAATTCAGGGCCTTAAGCTGCCTTTAGCCTCTTCACTCAAGGCTGGTGCTCTACCACTTGAACCACAACTCCACTTGTAGCTTTTTGTTGCTTATTGGAAATAGTCTCATGGTCTTTCCTGCTCTGGCTGCTTTCGAATCATGATCCTCGGATCTCAGCCTCCTGAGTAGCTAGGATTACAGGTGTGAGCCGCTGGCACTAACCTGGAATTCCTCTTCAGTGGTCCTTTGGGGGGGGGTCTTAGGGGGCTGTGGCATCTGGTTGGGTAACTGCCCTCCTCACTCCAAGGGGAGGCTGCCTCTCCCCTGCACTGGTTGGCTCCCAGGGGTCAAGGTCTTTGATTTCTCAGAGTCCTTATCTCAACTTTCCCAGAGGATGGGTATTGGCTCCACCAGCCACGTCTGCTTTTCCCAAGGTCTTTCAGAAGAGGAGGAGGTGCAGGCTCCAGCAGGGGCTGCCCCTCACCTTCGTCCAGATGCAGTGGGTCCCTGGGCTGCCCACCCTGTTCTAAATCTCCCTCAGCTTGACTAAGTTCAGGCATAGTCATTGCCCTCCCCCTCCCC